TTCCTGGGGTTCCTGAGGCAGTTTTCCCAGGGGTTTTCCTGGGGTTCCTGAGGGGCTTTTCCTGATGGTTTTCCCAGCATTCCCCGGGGGTTTTTCTCAGGGTTTTCCTGGGGTTCCCAAGGAGCTTTTCCTGGGAGTTTTCCCAGGGTTCCCCAGGGGTTTTCCTGCTCTTCTCCAAGGGGTTTTTCCAAGAGTTTTCCTGCTGTTCCCTGAGGGTTTTCCCAGAGATCCCTGGGGGATTTTCCCAGGGTTCCTGAGAGGATTTTCCAGCTGTTCCTTGAGGGTTTTCCCAGGGTTTCCAAACCATTCCAGGATTCCCTGTGCTTGGTTTTGGTTGGATTTGAGGGATAAATTCCTGGTAAGGCCCCTGGCATGGGTTGTTCCTGGAGGGATTCCCCATCCCTGGAGGGATGTTCCATCCCTGGAGGGATTCTCTGTTCCTGGAGGGATTCCCCATCCCTGGAGGGATTTTCCATCCCATCCCAGGCCGGGTTGGAGCCACCTGCTCCATGAGAAGCATCCCTTCCCGTGGGTTGGAATGAGCTGATCCCGAAATTCCTGGAGGGATTCTCCATCCCTGGAGGGATGTTCCAGGGAGCTGATCCCGAAATTCCCTCCCCACCCGCCCCCATCCCACGCCGAGCCCCTGGATGGGCCAGAATTCCCAGGAAAACCCCAAATCCCCCCATTTTCCCCCCCAGAACACCCACCAGCCCCAGAAGGCCAAGGAGGACGGGGCCCGGAAGGTGCTGCTGACCCCCAAGCAGGAGCCCCTGGAGACTCCCGTGTCCAAGATTTCCGAGGAATCCTCGTCCTCCACGGAGGAGGACGAGCCCCCGAGTTCCCCGGAGCTGCGCAAGGCCAAGAGGAGCCGATTCCAGCGGAAAACGGGATCCAAATCCAAGGGCAGCGGGTGGACCTGCGGGGTCTGTCACTCCTGGTTCCCCGAGCGCGACGAGTACGTGGCACACATGAAGAAGGAGCACGGGAAGGTGAGCTGGGAATGCGGGAATTCCGACCCTCCGGAATGTGGGGGTGGGGACACGACGTCCAGGGCGCCTCG